GGGCGACCGCTCGCAAGAATGCGCCTTCTCGCCGCCGCGTTTACGACGCCGACGAAAAGTTACACACCATTGATCGAGCACGCCGCGTTTGGAATCGTTCTTTTCCCTTTTGCGCGCTCCGCTCGCGACGCGAACGAGAACCTCGAGCGTAAAACTCGCGCGAGCGAAAGGGAGAGCCCGGTGGTGGTGGTTGGTGGTGGTGGTGGTGGCGCCTCTGACAGATACGTCCTCGCGATAAGAAACGGAATTTCTGCAGTCGAATTTGATTCTCGCTCGGTCCCCTCCCGTGGAGGATCACCGCGAGATTTATTCGCCTTTCGACGTCCTCCCTCCCCCTCCTGCCCCGCCATCATGGGATGGAAAAACATCGCACACGCAGCTTCTTATCGAGGGAAGCCGAGGGGGAGGACGAATTTGAAGGGAAAATAGCTCTTTGACGCAATTCCGTCGCATCCCTCCTCTCAGTCTGTCTCTTTCTGTCGCAAAGCTGGCGGCGCTTAGTCACGTCGCGACCCAACTGGCGAGAAATCGGGCGCATTAACGCGCTCCCTCCCTGTGCGGCGTATCCAAGTTTCGGCCAGACAATTTCGAAAGGACGCACGCACACGCACATGTGCAACGACTGGCGTGCGTGCACGACACGACGACGGGTTCTATTCGCGCCACTAGGTCACCGAGAAAACTCGTTACATAGACCCGGTGGAAATAGAGCGCGCGCGCTTGAACGCGCCGGCCGCCCTCTCGAACGTATCACTATGAGGGATGATGAGACGATGAGGAGACGGATGCTCGCGAAAGCGGACGCTGCGCCGCGCGCGCGTCCTTTCCATATGCCCGTACACAAATATACAAACAAATGTAAAAAGCCACATAGACGACGCCCGGATCCCTGATGGCAGTGCCTCTCAGTCCAAAAGAGAAAAAGGGGGGAGGGGAGATGAGAAGCTGCAGAATGGAGGTTTCTCGCGGACCACAACGATGACGAGCCGTCGGTCGGACGAATCGATTTATAATTTTGAGAAAATCTCGCAATTATAAATGTTGATTCTCGCAGTTATGAATGTTGATTCTCGCAATTATGAATGTTGATTCTGCGATTTAACGATCTCAAGTATATCTCAGTCATATCCAGTTCGAAGCTTCTTAAAACAATTAAATTAAGACAGATAAAGGTAATTAGAGATAATTAAAGATAACTAGAGATAACAAAGATAATTAAAGATTTTTACTCAGCAAAGAGAAGGGTTCTTGAGTATTCAATCAATTCGGGAGAAAGACCGAGTGAGCGAGAAAATATTACAACACAAAACATGTTCACGAAGAGAGTTTCAAGTTTTCGAATTGAAAACCTCAAGTAATGCCGCTGCGGATTATCAGCGCGCGATACGAAGGTGCGGAAACGTTCGATCGTCGCGTGTCCGAGTGTGCAATGTACACACAATGTTGCTTTCCAGCATGTAAAACAAAACAAGCTGGGCGGGGGGAGGGGGAGCTAGCTTTCTCTCAACTTTCCAAAGTCGGACGCACGCGTCGCGTCTTCGCGCTCGATACGCTCCTCTGAGTTATAATCCCCCCTCCTTGCCCCCGTCTCGTGCCTGATAAAGCGTCGTCGTCGATTGGGTGAATCAAAGGAGCCCCCCCCCCGCTCGCTCGAAAATACCGGAATATCAAAAGGCGGGTGAACGCGCAGAAGCCCCTCGGGAGAATGTAACACGAATGAACGGTTTCTTCCTTCGTGGTGCGCGATCGCTGCGCGAGTTTCTTCGATAAATCGAAGATGCGCGAGCGAAAAATTGGCGGATCACGGCGCGAAAATCTTTCTTCGTGTACATGTCTCCGCGCTTCTCCAGTGAGAGAGAGAGAGAGAGAGAGAGAGAGAGAGAGAGAGAAAGAGAGACTTCTTGGATAATGAGTCGTGTTACATCAACTTGTACATTACATAAAGGTACAGTATGGCGAGAAAAAGGAGAGGGAGGGAATGGCAAAATATTACCATTACGGTCGATCGCGGCGCGTCCTCGCGCGTGCGATAAGACGCGACGCGGCGGTTTTATCAAACAATGCAATCAATAACCGCCGATTCGCGCGAACACGATACGTCATCACGCGACCGACGAGGCTTGCGCACGTGACGAATATAATAAAGTTAAAAGAGAATGAAAAAAAAAAAGAACGAACAAACAAATAAACAAGAAAAAAAGGAGAAGACGGAGGAAAGTACGGCTGCTTAGCCGTCGCGCGAATCGAGCGTTTACACGATGTGGATCTATTCTCCCGGGCTTCGAGAACGGGTCGAAGATCTAGTGAGCGGTATATCAAGTCTGCGGGAAAGGGGAGCGGGGGAGAGAGAGGAGCGAAAGGGGCATACACCGAGAGAGTGCCCACGAGAAGCGGTTCTACGGCGCTTATACGGAGAGAGGTCAGCGTCTTTTCTGCGTACTTGGCGCAATTCAGCCGCAGAGCCGCAAGCGCGCGAGCGAGTGTTATCACTCCCGATTTCGTCCACGCCGTCGTCGTCGGTACAAAACGACGACGATGCAAGATTTACGACACAACAATGACAACAACGACGACTCGCCGTCGCGCGGCAAGTGGGCCGGCCGAAATACGCGCTAGAGTTCGCGCGCAAATAAATAAATATTCACGAGCGCTCCTCCTTTCTTTTCGCGCCGTGGATCCAGGCTGAGTCGGACATTATTCATTTTGTCGCTTATTGAACAAATCAAGAACTGGCATTTCCCCATTAGTGACGACACGCGGAGAGATTTCGACAGTCATCGGCACGCACTACTCTCGCTGCTCCGAGTCCTGCGAGAGAGACATCGAAGCCTTCAGCGTGTGAGCGTATGTTTGCATCCTGGAGAAATTCCTCAGCGCCTCCACTCGCACTGTCGTGGTCGTCGTTGCAAATGCGAATGTCATAAATGTCAAGACGCGCACACCCGTATGTATGCGTGTGTGTTATGGCGATATTCCCACACGCAACGCGCGACAAACGCATGGTGACGCTTTAAATCCATTAAATCGCCCGTTTGGCGTTTTCGAACGATGCGCCGTTCGCCGACTCGCCGCTGAGAAAATCGACTCATTCCCTCGACTCGACTTCACGCGCTTGCTTGCATATTTATGCGATTCGCCTTGCTTTCCCTCGCGTATCTCGTGCGATAGCGATTTTTGCGCCGTCCGCGGGATTCGCCGTTGCCGGGGATGTTGCTTGTTTCAGGTATCTTCGCGATCGCACGGAGGATATTTATGCAAAAGTTATTCATATTATTACACGGTGCGTAGCTTGTTCCCGTTAATTGTTAACTAATTGAATTATTGATTATTAACTAATACATCAGCTATTATCGCGACGATACGGCGGAACACCTCACCTTCGGCGCTACGTCTGTCCTTTTTTTTTCGCGCCCACCGTGCCGGCCACGTGACAGACGCGGCGCATGCGTCGCGTCGTATCGCGACAGCGAAGAGAGCGATAAGCCCGGCGGAGGAGACACGCGAGAAGACCTGTAACACGATCGTTCTTTCGCGATAGAGCCCATTATCAAACCAAGATCGAAGAGATCAGATCCCAGCCAATCTCGGCACGGAGTGGAGTGGCTAGCCGGCTCGAGACCACCGGATTCGCCGACCTCTAATCAATAATTAGCGATCCTCCGTCCTCCGAGTCGCGCGCGAAGCCAATAATGCGCGGCTCTAAGACGTCTCTCGTTGCACATATCGCTTTCGCGGCACGTATAATAAAACTGCCTGAAGTCGGCGATTGTTCGCAGTGGTCACACCGCTTGGTAATAATCGCGACATCGGGGACATGTACGCCTTTATCAGCGAGAAACATCGCGTGTCGGTCGACCCCGGCCGGCTGGAACGCGCTCGTGGAATTTTCAATTACTTGTGGCAGTCTTTGGGAATGTTTGCGAAGTTTGTTTATCGCGAACGTGAACGTCGAGACATTTCGCGGCCCTGAATGATTTTCGAGCTACACGTGTCCCCCGATAAGTTCGTCGGTGATAACGATGGCCAGCTGTTGCCTAACCAACATGATCCTCGTCGCATCTTCGTCAGAAATGTCTCTCTGCCCCGCTCTCAATCGTGAGATTTTGATCTCCGACGGATTTCCTCGTTTGCGATTGCCGACGAAACTACCAGGAACGCGCCACTTCGTTATCCGGGGCACGTGAACATGAAAAATCGCGGTTAAAGTCAGTCGTTATTATCGATAATTAGAGAGGGGAAGGGTTCAAGGTCGAACGGCAGAAGACGGAGGTTATACTCGCGCCGCAAAACCTACGTTCACATATTCCTCAAACGGCAAGAGAAACTGGGTCGTCTTTCCGGGACACCTTGTATACGTTAATTCATAGCGGAGTCACGCGAGGAATCCGCTCATAGCGATAAACGGACCCGATCGGGAACGGCCGCGTGATATTCCGAGACGATGACGAGAGATCCTGAAGAAAGCGCGGACAGAAAAACGCGCGAGCGCGAACGTTCGTTACGTCACGATGCGGGAGATCAGTATCTTCGGGCATACTCCGGAGAACACGCGTCTTTGCACAAAATGGCGCGATCAAAGTCCCTCTCTCGCGGTTCGACGACGGGCAACGCGCGCGTGACCTCGCCGCGACGACGTTCCGACGACGGCGATTCATAGTGATCCCGAATGCGAGCGCACTTTTGGGAGCCACATTACAAAATGGCGTGTATCGAAATACGTCTGTCCTCGTCTCTCTCCTCCTCGACGGTCCTCGGCGGTGTGCAGCCGACGGCGTCCTGCACACGTAGTATCCGCGTGTGTATTCCCGTGAAACTTCAACTACTCCGGAGTCCCGTTGAGAGATCGACGGAACGTGAGCGTAGGCTTCACAGCTCATGAATTGAGATCCGTGATTGACGACGAGGAAAAATCGCGGGACCATCAGAAAGAAAAAGAGGAGGAGAAAGATAAGATCGATCCAGATAGGAAATTACGAAAGAACAGAAGGAAAGCAACTCACCCTCATCGAGCAGACGCTCCACGTGTATGAAGACATTGGGGAAGGCCGCTAGTTGCTTCCGGTCCTTCAACAACTGTGACAGGTAGTCCGCTATACTCTGCGTCGTCGTGTTAGTATTATCACACATCGCAAATTGTACTCGGTGGCTTCAATGGCGAATGTTGGCGCGTGTTGGACGCGCGCGGCACGCAGTGATACACAAGCGCGAGAGAGGACGAGAGAAAGAGAAAGAGAGAGAGAGAGAGAGAAAGAGAGAGAGAGAGAAATACCGAGCGCAATAGAAAGTAACGAGAAATAATAAGGGAGAAAGAGAGAGAGGAGAGAGAGAGAGAGCGCGCGCACGAGTCCACAGACGTCGCGCGGTATGGACGGACGACGACGACGACGGAGGTCGGTTCTCTCTCCGATCGCGGGAGAGCACACGAGCGCGGACAGTCGAGACGTACTAACGAAGAAGCGTTAAAAGAAACGAGCGAGCGAAGGGGACGGCGACACGACGCGAGTGGGAGAGCAAATGTCGAAAGGAGGCAAAGGGGGAGGAAAGACTCTCGCGAAGTCGCGAGTGGGGGCGGTAGTGACGGACGCGGTGCACGCGGGGAAGGGAAAGGAAAGTAAAGAAGAGAAAGAGAGAGAGAGAGACGGAGAACGCGCGAGAGCGAGCGACACTCCTTACGGGAGAGTCGTAAAGTTGCCTCCTCGCTTGTCGTGCACACGCTTTCGTTCCTTTTTTGCAGCGACGCGGCTGGGCTGTGCGTTTCGTTTTCTCCTCTCGTTGTCAGCCGCTCGTTCGCCGAAGTATGCGCGCGCGCGCGCGCGCACGCGCTTGGATCCTTCGCTTCTCTTTCTCTCTCGAGCCGACGTCTTCACCGGTTTTTCCTCTTCGTCGGTATTGACGACTCAAATATGTTGTGTGTCCCTCAAATTTCGATGGTCTCTCGCCGACGGAAAGAAAGAGCGAGCACGCGCGAGGTTCACAACTGACGATTATGTTTTTAGAAACGTTCCACTGGCGAACGCGTCCGCGCGCGCGCGGTAGATCGCGAAAAGCGCCGCGGAACCGCGGCGAGAGGATAGTGGGAGGTGAAGGAGAACGTAGAAGGGAGCGAGGGACAGAGAGAGAAAGAGATAGAGCGGATAAATAGAACGATAGGCGGAGATTGGAAGGAGGAGAAAACGGGAAGGACCGGCCGAGGGGGAGAGAGAGAGAGAGAGAGAGAGAGAGAGAGAGAGAGAGAGAGAGAGAGAGAGAGAGAGAGAGAGAGAGAGAGAGAGAGAGAGAAAGAAAATGTGTGTGTGTGTGTGCGGGCGGGCGTGCGTGCGTGCGTAGATATAACGCTACGTGTCTCTGTCTCTCTGTCGCGCGCTCGCGCACGCTCCGTATGCAGTATTCGAATCGGAATGCGAATCGCAGCTTCGTGAGACTTAAGTACGCACGCTTCGGAACTCTCGGCTCTACTGACCTGCACCGCCGACTACATGCGTGTCGCGTCGCCGAACAAGGCCGAATCGCTCCGATAATGGCCGAAGTGAGTCGCGCATGCATACACTAGGGTGCTCCAACGCGCCCTCTGCCCCCGCACACTTCTCTCTCTCTCTCTCTCTCTCTCTCGCTCGCTCATTCTCTCTCTGTCAACGCGCTTCTACCGCCCACTACCATATACGGCTCTGCATCGCGCTAGCAGAGAGAGAGAAAGAGAGAAGATAAGCGCGAATGAGAAAGAGAGAGATACGCGTCATACCATCGCGTCGCATAGAGTTGGATAATTCAGGGCCGCGATCATGGGCCAACGTATACCCCCACGTTCCCCTCGACTTTCCGTGGGGTGAATTAATTTGCTTCTTTTTTGTTTCCTCCCGTTTTGAATATTCGTCCGATCGTTGCGATATAATTAAGCGGGATTATGCGGATTCGAGAGTTGCCTCTCTCTCTCTCTCTCCCTCTCTGTTTGGAAAGAGAAAAAGAGAGATCACTTTTCACGAAGGAGAATCACGCCGAAAAGGAGCCGCTGCGCAAGAGGTACCGGACGAAGGGCCGCTTCCAAATATCTTCCCCGGCGATCTCCGCGCGTTTCGAATTTCAATTTTTAATCTTGGCTGCGAATCGCGCTTGCGCTTACGCGCGCGTCAGGAGCTTCGCGGCTTGTTCGTTTTCCGCGGCGCGTCCCGAGAGAAATTAGCTTTGCGCAATTTCGCGGGCGGCAGTAAATAAACGCGCCGATTCGGTCGCCGAGGGAACTGTTATGCTCGCCCCACAGCGAGAGTCGTATAACCGTCTCGACGTTTTGTAGGAAAAGAAGAATAAAAAGGCGAAACGCACGTCGCTCCTGGCGCGTGGAAGTAAGAGAAAACAAAACGGGTCGTTTAGAATACGACGTCCTGCGCAGATAATGCGCAACCAGCCTCTCCCAACGAGACCGGCGTGCATTACATCAACCAACGCGCAAGCAACATCGTTACGATCTCGGAGCGGCGTGCCTTAGAATGCATAATTAATAATTCCCTGCTTGTCTGCCTGCTTGCCTGCCTGCCTGCCTGCCTGCTTGCCTGCCTGCCTGCCTGCCTGCCTGCCTGCCTGCCTGCCTGCCTGCCTGCCTGCCTGCCTGCCTGCCTGCCTGCCTGCCTGCCTGCCTGCCTGCCTGCCTGCCTGCCTGCCTACCTGCCTACCTGTCTGCCTGCCTGCCTGCCTGCCTGCCTATCTACCTACCTACCTACCTACCTACCTACCTACCTACCTACCTACCTATCTACCTACCTACCTACCTACCTACCTACCTACCTACCTACCTACCTACCTACCTACCTACCTACCTACCTACCTACCTACCTACCTACGTACCCGCTTTCGATACGCGCCGGCCGACCACGTCGAGATGCCCAAGGCGTGAACGTACAAGGTAAAATCTGCGAGACCGCGCGCGCGACTCGAGTACGCTCGAGTATCTTTTTTAACGATACGCGTACGCATGCCAGGAATTCGCGAGATCTTAACCGACATCGCTTTTTTCTCCGTTTTTCCTTCCTTTTCCTGTGAGAATCGCTAGCTCTCTAAACTACACAGTTGCCGGCGCAAGGCCGTGGTAACGCGACGGTCTAATTACACAGGGTAGCAAGCGAGAATGTAACTTTTTCCTGAGACTGAAAAAGTGAAAAGTTACATATAAACTCGACGGCTTCGGCGATCGTGCAACTTTTCCAACCATGCAAATGTAAAACTGTCCGTGTATTTCTCACGTTTCTCCTCGTAAAGAGAAGTTACACGACCGCCGCCCAAAAATTACCTCAGCGCGTCTTACAATAATCTACACTGTCTACACTGAGGACTAGGAATCCTAGTCGAAGTTCGAAGTAATCTACGATCAGGAGCATTGTTCTGGACGTACAAGGAAAATACGCTATATCCTTTCTTAATTAAAATTTTAATTTTACTTATATTACGTATATAAACTCGTTTCAACTTCAGTATCAAGAGGGCGATTATGAATCTTTCCTTCTAACATAAGCTCGTGAAAAGTGGATATTTCCATATTTACAACTCAAAAATTTTTTTACTTTTCGCCAGTTCATGCTGGAGAGAAAGATTCATAATAAACGCCTAAAAAATCTTATTTAGAGTTCACTGCGCGTCCAAAATATAGCCCTAGAGGTGAAGAGCCGACGAGCCGCCGCCAATTGAAGATCAACGGACTCGAGTAAGTAAGATAAGAGAAAGAATATCGTGAGGTAATCTCGCAGTGGTCAGCCGCAAGATGCATCTATCAATCGTGAAATTCGGCCTGCATCCCCTCACGAGCGAGCGGAATCCAATTATATCCAGTGTTCCAGAAACCAGAACAGCGGATCAAACGCGCGACGGCTTCCAGACTACAAGACTCGTTTATTCTTAGATCTTGGCCGGCCGATCGCAATCACCTATCGTCGATGAATCTCGTCGATGAGTCGGCGCGAGGCAACGGCACAGAAGGAACGCGCGGCTACAGATCGAATTCGAGAGGCGCAATTATCGATCGGCCGCATCGACGGCATGTCGGAGACCCGACATACCGCCTCTTATTAGCGTGCTCCCACGGACTTTACCTTCTATGCCGTACCCAGCGCCTACGCGTGCGTGCATGCGTGCGCGCGAGCGAGCGAGCAAGCGCGCACGCATGCACGCACGCACACGTCGGTGAACGCAAAGTAACGTTGACGTCACGCGTCCATACATGGAATCAGCGTGAAAACCGTGTGGGTGTTGAGTGCGCGCTCGCGTTAATAAATTATTTCATCGTGCCTTTTACCCGCCATACTGCGCCCGCCAACGGCATCCTTCCTTCCTTCTTTCTGTTCTCGCTCTGTTTCCGAACATTTCTCGCCTGTGTGCGCGTGATCGTCTGAATCGAACGAGGCTCCGGTGGAGGATAAAGTCTCTCGATCGCGGCACGTGCGATCGACGTTGGTATTATACGATGACTAACACTATTTTCTGCACGAGACTATATATCTTCCTATGCTCCTACTTAAACTCCGTCTCGAGCTTGAACGACGATATCTGAATTTCTGCGCATGTTCCTGTTAAAACAGTTTGTTCTAGATTTGTTCGATATATATTCACATGGATATCAACAAAGAGATATAACAGGAAAGAAACTTACAGAGAACAAAAGAAGGACAATTGGTGGGATGATTGAAGAGCAAGTCAGAAATAACGTCGAATGAAAGTCGAATGGTGTCAAAAATCGAAGATTTTTTTAACGTCACTAAAATGTATTTCTAATATAGAACTGTACAAGCGTAGCGCGGTGTACCGATGGGTCTCGATTCCCCAGGAGTATCGGGACACATCCGTGCGACAATGATGCAGTCGCCTACGACCCACGCATATCAGGTGCGCGTGGACGGCATGGTTATCTGCTGAATTGCCTCTTGTCCCCTGTACGTTTGCCTACCTGCTGGTAGGTCTTAGTACGTCGTAGCTGTTTTGTAGCACTTGAGTCGTTCAGGTTCTTGAAGTGCCCGTAACCGCCTCCGCCGAGCCTTTTTCGCGGTCGCGTCGCCTTGCTCACTCCTACTTCTGCAAAGTGTGACTGAGTTAATAAAAAGCGAAGAAACAAAGAGTAGCGCGTAGTCGCACTATTTTAAAATTCAAATTTGCATACTGAAACTGATGCTATTATACGAGGAAAGCATGTATGGGTATCAAACAGAAAAAGACGTAATTCTTTATGTTAAATCCATGTAGTCAAGTACGTACTTAAGTCCATTGTCGGCGGCACGGTGAATCCGAATGATTTAGCGACCGCTGTCAAGTTTAGAGTTTCAATATTGAAGATTTGCTTCAAATGATGGGAGTCATACGCTCGGACATACGCTTTGAACGCTTCTTTCGCTGAAGTGTGCAGATAATAATTTTTCGAGATTAGTTTCTCGAGCTAAAAATAAAGCAATAACATGTTGCATCGATTATGGACGACGTGCGGAGATAAATGTTGATTAAACCGGTATAATTGCGAAGACTAGCTTTTTGCTCTCCCCTCCTCTTTCTTTCTCTACTGAAACGAGCAGTGGCATGAATCATGTGCGTAGGCACATCTGCGAGTGTTTTTCCAGTTTGGTGTTGTCCAAAGAGAAAGAGAGGACATAAAAAAAATAACACGGAGAGACAAACGAATTGTATTATATATACATATATGTATATATTGCACATACTTGCAATTGTATGTCAGAGATTTTGTTGTTGCTGATCTCATACTCGCGTAATGGCACACGAGCTTGCTTCAAGTAATATATCATCCCTAGCTCCTCCGGTCGTAGAAGTAGCAAGGCGTTACCTTTGTTCCCTGCACGAGCTGTTCTTCCTACACGATGAATATATTCCTGAAAGTCACAATTCGATGCTGTAAATGTATATTCACTGACAACAAATCCGTGTTGATAGTTCGTCTATTCGTCTCTTCTACTAAACGAGACAAACGAACATGACGTAATATCCCTTACTTTGGGATCATCCGGTGGATCATATTGCACGATCCAATCGACATTAGGTATATCCAAACCTCTAGCGGCCACGTCGGTGCAAAGCAGAATCCCGGAATCTGCTCTGCAGAATTGATAAAAAGTGTTGGTTCTTTTTATCTGTTTCTGCCTACCCTGTTGGCAAGATGCGAGTATTTAATTTTTATCGGAATTTCTAAGAACATTATAACTTGAAGAAAATATAGTGCAAAAAAGAAATGTTCAACGACTTACGTGTATACTCATTACTGGTAAATCGATGTAATTGAGGAGTTCATGATGATATTTCACAGACATGCAGGAACTGAAGAAAACCATAATCTTCTTCTTCTTATTTTTCTTCAGGAATGTGAACAATAGCATGAAACGCTTATCACTCGGACATACCAAGTAACCTTGCTCCAAGTTTTCCACAGTTGCCTTCTCCTTGTCATCATCTACCCCCACGTATATGGGTTCCTTCTTGATGGCTAATTTTGTTAGCATGGTGACTTTTTCTGTCTGTGTTGCACTGAAGAGCATAGTCTGCCTGCGTTCTGCATCAACAACAATAGCATGTAGCAACAAAAAATATATATCTACCATAATCTGGTTGTGCATTGCGACAAGCTACTAACTCGGAAGTAAGTTAATGATCTGCTTCATTTCCTCTTCGAAACCAATGTCCAAGATTCGATCAGCTTCATCAATGACTAAACATTGTAAATTCTTATACATAAAATCTGGAGTGTTCTGTAAGTGGTCCAGTAGCCTCCCTGGCGTGGCCACAATAATATTCACCCCCTTCGCGAGCTTCTGCGCTTCAGTCTGCCTATTGGCACCACCCATCAGCAAACCATATGTATGATGGTGATATTTCATAAGTTCTTTTAAAACTCCGAACGTTTGCATAGACAGTTCTCGCGTTGGGGATATGATGATGCATCCAGTACCTGCGAAAATATCCATTCGCTAGATCTTTGTTATGAATAACAAATAGTTCGGAGCGATTTTATTTCGAGAATAGTCCTCAACATTTTAATGTCAGTAACGTCAGCGAGTTCACGTACCGTTGCGTGGCATAAACTTCAATTTGTAGATAAGTTCAACTGCAGGGATTAGGAATGCCAGAGTCTTGCCAGATCCGGTTTTAGCAGAACCTACTAGATCTCTTCCTTCAAGAAGGTGGGGAATGGATTTCGCCTGTATCTCTGTCATATGTGTAAAACCCATGTCATCGATTGCCTTTAATGTATGCTCGCATACTTTTTCTTTCAGCACTGAGAAGTTCTTGTCAAATACTATTTGTAAGCCCAAAGTTGTGCCAGGTGCTAAACAAAAATATATTGTTATTATAAAGAATATTCGAATATTCCTTGACTATTAATTTAGTTATATATCATAAAAGTACATACAATTTTCAGATGCATCATTCTTAGGAGATTTCTCAATTGTCTCTGAATTTTGTTCCTCTTTGGAAACTGATATATTTTCCGTGTCATTGTCATTTGCACTTTTTTCCTCAGATATTTTCGAAATTTTCCTTTTTTCTGATAAAATTGTGCAATGTATTATTATATAAGCACACAATAAAATAAATAATAAAATGATGTCAACACTATATGTTATAAATGATATTATTCCTTGCAAAATAAAATAATTTATATACTATAAAACTTACTTTTTTTAGAGATATCTTCTGTGCATCGTCGCTTCTTACTATTTGTTATTTCTTTTGATACAGTTGCATCTATAATATATGAATATGAATGTTGATGAATTAATGATAAAATATATGTAACAAAAGAAATTAAATAATAATTAAATAATACATACTATTTTCAGATGCATTGCTATTGGAAAGATCCTCAACCATCTCCAACTTCTGTTTTTCCTCAGGAATTGATATCTGTTGCCGTTTCTTGGTTATTTGCAAAATTTTCTTTGTTTCTAAAAATTACATAGACTATTATTAGCAATCATATAATAAAATAGATACAATCATTTATAGATAATATGTTATAAATATTATCCCTATATAGATAATTCATATGATATAAAATATTACTTTTTGCAGGGATGTTTTCTGTGGATTGCAATTTCATTCTGTTTGCATCAATCTTTTCCGATTTAATTGTACCTGTAACAAAAACATTTTAATATTAAAATAAGTAATAATAGAAAGTACCTAATTGTTGTACTTGGATATACTGAAATGCTAAAACATACAAAAAGAAACCATAATATCAGAAAGAAAGAAAATCTACTCAAATAATTTCGAATGTGAAACATACATATATGGGGGTTGTACGCTAGGCGCGCGATGCGCGAATTTCTGTCACCTGGAACGGCGGCTCGACGTGGAGAGACGAGTGGAGGTGCTGTTGCACGCTCCGAACCCCTTTTACCACCCACAGCGCACGAGGTCACGAAACTCGTGCCCTAGGGTCGTGTTCGGTCGCACAACACCGGTGGAACGTAAAAACTCAAGAAACAGAACTTTATTGTAATCTCTTGCGTACACGTGCGAACAGACAGGAGCACGTGCACACGGCGCAAGAACCGTGTCCTCGACGGACATACGCAAATCAACAACGGTTCCCCTCGCGACACGGGGAAACAAGACGCTCGCTGGAAATACGTGGAAACAAAACGCTCGCATATATAAAATTACCGCTTGCAAGAAATAGAGAAAGTCGCTCGCGTAAATCACGTGCACGAGAGCGTGTGCAAAATCGAACGCGACGAACACGCGAGTTGAGGCACGACGTCTCGGGCCGCGCGCGGCAACAACACGGACATGTGCACACGGCGCGCGAGGCACGTGGTGCGCACGGAAAGCGGAAAATGCGCATTCACGCGACCGAATGTTTTCGCGCGTGAATGCGCCCTGGAACGCCCTGTCGCGCGGAGATGCGATGCGCGGGGACGCGCGCGGGCGACCCGACAAGGCTGCGGGGAGAGAAGCTCCCCGAAGGGCAGCCGAAAAGCGCATGCTGCGTAAGCACGCGTGAACGGAAACAAGACGAGCCTCGGCGAGAGGGGTGCGTGAGCTGCTGCGGCACTGTGTGGCGGGACTCACGCTCTGCGCTGCTGCACGGCGGGCTCTGCACCAGGAGGCTGCGCCGGCGATGCTGCGTCAGGATGTCCCGGCCGGGGACGTCGACGTCCGCGAAGTCCGTAGGCACCGAAGAAGAGCGGTGATTTGCACACAGCGGCCGTGGCGAGAAGCACGGCGGTGGCTTTCCTACCTTGCTACTGACTCCTTACGAGGCACAAGTACGTGTGTCATTGACGGCGGCCCGAACTCAACTCCTGTCCATGTGCTGTAGCACGTGGTCGAGGCGCGCCTCATCAGTAAAATGCCCTCGGCTGAAGCAGCTGTTTCCTGCGGCTCGGCGGACGCGGGTCCGCCGGCGCCGCGGTAGATGGCGGGGACTAGTCGACCGCCACACATACTATAGCTTTGTTCGTTTAGTCTGTTCTGGATCTGTTTCAGAATAGACCAGTGAAATATATACCAGAGAGGAAGCTGAGAGCGGCCAACACGGCGTTTTCGACGGCGACACCGATTTTTCGCACTGGGAATGGGCGCTATCTGCATCCAGATTTGAGAAGGGAACTACGATGCTACATCCACTTTTAGGTCTCGACGGTAAAACCTGCAACTGGTGGCTGTCCGTGCTACATCCACTTTCAGGCGGTTTATGTCCGTGCTACAACCATAATAGCGTACTTGATAAGCACGGTCTCGGACATTGTTATGCATTTGTAACATGAATTAACATGTTAACATGCAGAAAAAAAAATAAGAATTGAGATTGTATATGATTAATATCATGAAGATTATATACGATTTATATCGATATATAAATATATGATAATAAGATAATATTTTGTGTGTACCCAAAATTATTTTTCCAAAATATTTCAGCGTTACGTTAGTATTTATTTATACTCCGGCAGGCGTTTTTCAGCGCAGTTGTGTCCGTGTACATGTGTTGCATTGAAAGTGTGCGTGACGTACGTATGCATATACGCACTCACACACACACACATACGTGTCATACGCAACAGATAGAATCTCAAGGTATATGCTTAAACATTTTCAATTGCCGTACGTTTCTATGTAAGAATGTAGTCGGCACACACACACAGAGAAACTGCTCCCGTCTATCCGTCTGAAGTCCCGCCCTCCGATCGGCTTGTTTTGACGAGCCAAGCGAAAGAGAGAGAGAGAGAGAGGGAATGTGTTCTCTCCATCTCGCTCTGATTCGCAACGTTGCCGAGATTGTGCTTCCCGACACACGGCCGAGACTGACGTTTCACTCTCGGCGTGAATCCAACGAGATGATCAATAGCAATCGATTTCGACTAAACTCGTTGTGTCGATAGATTTGCATGACAAATTAACATTGCACTTAAAGATACGGCGTAGCATTGAAGCGTTTGCAAGAAAGTCGCGATTGAAAATCACGAGTGCTTCATGAACCAAATGAAGGAGCGAACTTCTCAAAGAACGTGTGGCTTGGTGGAAGTACGCTAGACTCGCAGGGTTGAGGTCGGTGGTTCGCATCTCCTTGGCGATCGGCGTTGTCCTTTTTCGCCAATCATTTTTTTTTCGTTTTTTAGGAAAATGCACGTGTTGCATACAACATACGTGTATCACAATAAATTTTTTTTCATTTTTTAAGAAAATGCACATATTGCATACAACACACGGGCATCGCAAGCATTGCACGTTTCGTCGATGACACTTCCTCTGAGACCCCGTCCTACGCTCGACTTGTTTCGACGAGCCAAGCAAAAGAGAGACAGAGAATGTGTTCGCTCCATCACCTCTGTGAAGATGGCCCTTCATTCTTCAAATTTGAAAAAAATTATTAGAGTTCTGAATGCCCCTCGCAGAGTTCTAGAGTTCGCAATCCTTTATAGAAAGAGTTCCGTCATTTAAAGTAGAGAAAATACCATTTTAAAAATCGGAGGGCCAACTTCACGACGCCCCTCATTATGTAAAAAATGACAATTTTTTTAGAGTTCTAGATAGATTTTTAAGTTCTATAGTTCTAGATAAGTTTTAAAAATAGTTCTGTTTAAAACAACAAGAAAAATTATATTTAAAATTCTCGAATTAGAAAACGAAAAATGGCAAGAACTCTACCAATTTTGGTTTTCGCGCTCCGAGTGTTAATAATAATCTTCAGAGTTCATGAGGAGCTAACCAGAAGTCTGAATGGAACGTCGGATTTCCGAACAAATCTTTCGATCCGAGTAACATGGAAATATTCGACTCGAGGGACAAAAATCGGCGACAACTCTTTCAATTTTGGTTTTAGCGTTCCGAGTGTTAATAATAATCTTTAGAACTCGTGAGGGGCTAACCAGAACTCTAAATAAAACATCGGATTTTCAAAAAAATTGATTGTTTATTAAACACGTAAAATTTTTTTTCGGAAATCCGATGTATCATTCAGAGTTCTGGTTAGCCCCTCACGAGTTCTGAAGATTATTATTAACACTCGGAACGCTAAAACCAAAATTGAAAGAGTTGTCGCCGATTTTTGTCCCTCGAGTCGAATATTTCTATGTTACTCGGATCGAAAGATTTGTTCGGAAATCCGACGTTCCATTCAGACTTCTGGTTAGCTCCTCATGAACTCTGAAGATTATTATTAACACTCGGAGCGCGAAAACCAAAATTGAAAGAGTTCTCGCCGATTTTCGTACCACGAGTTGAATATTTCCATGTCCCTCAGCACGAAAATCGGTGAGAACTCTTTCAATTTTGGTTTTAGCGCTCCGAGTGTTAATAATTATCTTTAGAACTCGTGCGGGGCTAACCAGAACTCTGAATGAAATGTCGGATTTACGAAAATAAATTACCTGACTGAGATGGGAGTCACAATGTATGGAAAAATGTAGCGTTTTTACAGTGAAATCTGGTGATCGAGGTGGAAAATCGATTGACCCATATTTGCCTATTCACGTATAGGGAAAAATATTATTATATTATCATTATTACATATTATTATCTCGACATGCAACATTTCTCCGTTGATATCTCCGCTTCTACTGGGAGTAGAGAGTCGCCATTTACGGCAAAATGTAGGGTTTTGAGAGGACTTTAATTTGGTGCCAGACTGAGGCCTGTATCTCTAACCGTATAGGAGATATCGAAGGTTAAAGTCTTCCAGCCTTTCTCCGTCGATATCGAGCCTTCCTCCGTCGATATCGAGCCTTCCTCCGTCGATATCTCCGCTTCTACTGGGAGTAGAGAGTCGCCACTTACGACAAAATGTAGAGTTTTGAGAGGACTTTAATTTGGTGCCAGAACCAGGCCTGTATCTCTAACCGTTTAGGAGATATCGAAGTTTAAAGTTTCCAGCCTTTCTCCGTCGATATCTCCGCTTCTACTGGGAGTAGAGAGTCGCCATTTACGGCAAAATGTAGGGTTTTGAGAGGACTTTAATTTGGTGCCAGACTGAGGCCTGTATCTCTAACCGTATAGGAGATATCGAAGGTTAAAGTCTTCCAGCCTTTCTCCGTCGATATCGAGCCTTCCTCCGTCGATATCGAGCCTTCCTCCGTCGATATCTCCGCTTCTACTGGGAGTAGAGAGTCGCCACTTACGACAAAATGTAGAGTTTTGAGAGGACTTTAATTTGGTGCCAGAACCAGGCCTGTATCTCTAACCGTTTAGGAGATATCGAAGTTTAAAGTTTCCAGCCTTTCTCCGTTGATATCTCCGCTTCTACTGGGAGTAGAGAGTCGCCATTTACGGCAAAATGTAGGGTTTTGAGAGGACTTTAATTTGGTGCCAGACTGAGGCCTGTATCTCTAACCGTATAGGAGATATCGAAGGTTAAAGTCTTCCAGCCTTTCTCCGTCGATATCGAGCCTTCCTCCGTCGATATCGAGCCTTCCTCCGTCGATATCTCCGCTTCTACTGGGAGTAGAGAGTCGCCACTTACGACAAAATGTAGAGTTTTGAGAGGACTTTAATTTGGTGCCAGAACCAGGCCTGTATCTCTAACCGTTTAGGAGATATCGAAGTTTA